TTTCCACACGATTTCAATTTATATTGCATTTCATCACAAATTGAATGTCTCTTTACTTTGAGTATAAACACAATACACAATGCATTCGTTTGTGTCTACATATTATCACAAACACTTCATACAATCTCTCTCTCTCTCTCTCTCACAAACGGATCCAATAATTTCAAGAATTCAATAATTAATTTATTAGAATAAGACTTAAGTATAGTATTGATGAAGAGATGAAAAGAGAAATTCTTGGAGTAAACAAAACAATTACGATTAGGAGGGCATACGAGAAGCCCAGCCCAGCTCTCTCTCTCTCTCTCTCTCTCTCTCTCTAACACATATCAATTATCGCTATCTTTAGTTTAGTTTTTTATTAAAAATTTATTCCGCAATAATTGGTCTTTATTTTATTGTGTACTCAATTGCCATCACATCTCATCACAAGAGCTAATATTTATTTTATTTGTATTCTCTTCTCATCATAAAAACCAATCATTATTTCCATTGTATTATTGTTGGCAATGATTGACTTTATTTGCTGTTCAATCGTCTCTTTCAGTACTAAAGAGTAATGAAAATAACAATAAATTAATTATTGAATTCTTGAAATTATTGGATCCGTTTGTGAGAAGTGATTCGTATAAACAGAATATAACATACAATTTAATGAATTTATTTACAGTAATGGTCGACAGTATACTCATGTATTTAACACAAATATCTGTTGCTTTTATAAAACATTTTTAGATTTAAATGTTGGGTATATTTTATTTAAACCATATGTGTGTTAATCAATGTCTAAAACCATATTATTTCATATCTCTTTAATGAATCTATTTATACAATTCTGGGAATAAGTTTGTATTTAATAAATAATTACATAATCAGTGAGAATCGCAACGAAAGGGTCTATAAATTTAGTGAATTAATTAAAGGAAAATCTGGTATATTATGGCATTTGTTTGACTTTCATATTATGATTTGATTGGACGACGAGATGTGTTGAGCCATAACTGGAAGTCATTCGCTTAATTGCTTATATTCTTTGAGTAAAATATGATTTTTTATATTAAATTCCTTCAAATATGATGTGGAAGTGGTGTTCAAAAGTAATTTATAGCTTTCATTAATCGTTGCGCTCATACATAATGAACACGTTTGGCGCATACATACCCTCACAAACCCTATCTATCTATAGATACGGACTTTTTGTGCGCTCAATAAATGAACGGAAGCCTTAAATATTGTATTAAGACTGAAATTAAGGCTTTAGGCCGTGATATGTGCGGTCAATCTGTCGACTCTACTCTACAATAAACTGTTCATAGATTAAAGCCTAATATAAATGACCGCAGAATACACTATACATTATTGGGTTTTCCCTAAAATTTGTGTCTCATCTCAAAACAATTGATCGATAAATTGGGAGTTAGGAGAGAGAGAGAGAGAGAGAGAGAGAGAGAGAGAGAGAGCTGTGCTTCTTATATGCCCTCCTAATCGTAATTGTTTTGTTTACTCCAAGAATTTCTCTCCTCATCTCTTCATCAATACTATACTTAAGTCTTATTCTGTATTCTCTTCAGTAATGGATACTAATGTCTGGAATCGACCGAAAAATATCGTTCACAACAATAAACTCGTGACTGAAATACGATTATATGATTTGAGACACACTTTATTAGATTAGCTTTTATTATCAATAATTCAATTGACTTTCAGTTTAGACATACGTTTTACCCGCGCTTTAAACCATTTTTTAGTAACGATTTATTTGCGATGAATTTATTTCAATTATTATTTCATTTCAAAATATACTGCAATTTTGTAGATATTTAAAAGAATATTTTATTTAACATTAGTTAATTAAACAAATAATTGGCCATAAAATAATTTACAAAATATTGTAGATATAATAATTAGTTGTATTGCGGTATTAATTTTATAAAATAATAAATATATGTTTAGTTACTTAATAAATCATTGAATTTATGTTTGCTTTTCCAATGTTTCCTACGCTTGAAATCAAATCTTATGTTTGCTTTTTAATAATCTAATAAAAGATAACTTTATTTGCTTTCTTGTATTCACTCTTTATTCAGCAAATGTTTCATAAAAAGAGGAGAAAATGAGTTTTCCTAACTGAATATTCTTACTATTTTTACTGAACTTTTAATTTGAGTATAATATGTACAGTACTTTCCATTACTTATAGTACTACACTGTAGTACAATTTAATGTTCACAACACAATACAATAGTGTATTAACAGCTAAATAATAGTATAGTAATAATAATAACAGAAATCACTTTCTTTTTCTGACTCCCTGTCCTCTCTCTCTCTCTCTCTCCTATTCAATGAAAGTGATTGTAGTATAAGTGTGCACAAAATGTAGGCATCATTTCCTATTCGTTCACTTCCTTGCCTTCAAATGAAAGTTTGGGACAAATTTCCGAATCAAAGGCGAAATAAAAGAAGAAATTTTTGCCAATTCTTCTTCGCTCTCATTATTGGCATTTGTTTCTCGAGAGTCCATAACATAACGTATTACTCGTTGTAGTGTTGAGTATCGATAGCGTCAATAGACTACACTTGGATGTAGTGAATAGTATTTGACATTAATATGTGAGTGAAGGCATAATTCATATAAACTATGATAACTGTGATAAGTATGAGAGAAGGTATATTACGTAATGACTAGTGACCTCTACTTGACGAAGACGTTGGCCAATCTCTACTAATTACGGCAGACTTTTCGTATCGAGGATAGGTACGTATGGTATATGGTATGGTAAGTTGCATAATGATCAGTATACTGTATACGGTATGAACTTTCTCTCTGCCTCTTCTCTCCACTAATTCTTGAATCTTAAGACTCGAGACGTTTTGATAGATAGCAATGTGTGATACTATTGAGTATAACATGTGATACGGACTCTCGTTAATAACGGCTATTGTGTTGCCGATGGTATATAACTCTCGCTATTAGTTACTATTATTTCATTTTCATCAAACATATGGAAAGGCAGTCAATGTCTTGTCGTTACTCTAGTTTTCCTGTATTCCCTTTATTGTACGTCTCTCTACCGTATAGTCAGTCAATATATTTGCTGTAAGTGTCGGTATAAAAGTGCCATAACCAGCGACCAGTGCCCACACGACCCCCAGTATATAACCTGAGTTTTAATATTGTGTTATATATTAGCTTTATATACGATATAAAAAGGGGGAAGAATTTCTACTCAATACTCAAAATCACTTCCTTTTCATTTTGAGTTTGGCTTCAATTCTATTATTTCGTCGCTTTCAACAAATATAGAGATGACATATAGTAGAGGCATAGCGTTAGTCTCAAAAATGATGACAGAGAGAGAGAGAGAGAGAGTCACCAAAGCCGGCATCGGTATGACTGCCGGAGCCGTCGGTGCCTTTTTCGGGACACCGGCCGAAGTGTCACTCATCCGAATGACATCCGACGGACGGTTACCACTGGCCGAGAGAGAGAGAGCCACTAAGACAAACAATGCTTACTTGTAATTCAATGAACCAAAAAGTCCTACATTTTCATCATTTCTCTTACTCTTCTCCAGTCTCTCTCTCTCACTCACTTTCTTTGATGCACTTTCTTCTCTCCTCCCTTTTCCTTAGTTTTATAAAACGATAACATATCTGTTGTAATGATAATGCATTTCAATATAGATTCCTTACAATACTATTTCACGCTTGACTTTCATTTGAAAAATTTTATACTCCTTTACAACACATACACACAAAATATATACATTTTTTCACTCTTACACCAAATAATAGTCTGTATATTCTTTATGCTCTTATATTTTTTTCAAATACTCTTATGTATTCTTCAGTCGTTTTGCAATTCGTCAAAAATATTCACTTATATTCACGTAAATTATTTTATTTTTCGTCTATGAATTCAATCGGGAATTATTTCTTTTCACTGTGTTTTGTGTGACTCTAATGTTTTGATAGTTTAACAAATTTTTTATGGGAATCAATCATTACATCAATTCATATCCGAATGAGAGAGAGAGAGAGAAAGAGAGAGAGAGAGAGAGCGTAGAAAGTGCATCAAAGAAAGTGAGTGAGAGAGAGAGAGAGAGAGAGAGAGAGAGAGAGATTGGCATTCATTGCATCATATTTTCGTATATCTAATATATGGTATAATTCTGGAAAATTTATTTTTATATGCGATATATGTTTGAAAACTGTTGACTCAATAAATAAAAGCAATAAAAATAAATAAATATTATTAAACACACGATTCAATTGAATTGCAAACTATAAAAGATAAACCGATTCCTGACATAAATCCACAAAATATGGTTTATTAAAAATTTTATAACAATTTTTATTGATTTTTACGTATTCTCTATGCGAATGAATGGATTAATTAAATGCAAATTTATAATTAATATACAAAATACTCATAAATAATTCAAATAAATATCAAAATTGTTAATATCTAAATACAGAGAGAGAGAGAGAGAGAGAGAGAGAGATTGGCATTCATTGCATCATATCTTCGTATATCTAATATATGGTATAATTCTGGAAAATTTATTTTATATGCGATATATGTTTGAAAACTGTTGACTCAATAAATAAAAGCAATAAAAATAAATAAATATTATTAAACACACGATTCAATTGAATTGCAAACTATAAAAGATAAACCGATTCCTGACATAAATCCACAAAATATGGTTTATTAAAAATTTTATAATATTGGCAACACAATAGCCGTTATTAACGAGAGTCCGGATCACATGTTATACTCAATAGTATCACACATTGCTATCTATCAAAACGTCTCGAGTCTTAAGATTCAAGAATTAGTGGAGAGAGAGAGAGAGAGAGATCAACTAAATTACAATTTAATGAGTTTTCACAAAATACATACATTTTTTCACTTAATTCTTGCACTCATTCTAACAGTTTATATGTGAGAAAGAAATTGAATGTTTGAATAAAAGAAATTTTTTGCCTCATATATAATGTTATGTTATGTTTTGAAAAATAAAGTCACTTTATTTTAACTTATTAAAAAAGTGACGGCCATTAGGATTACAATCGTTTATCACAATAAAAAGAGTACAAAAATACCATAAAAACGAGTGAAAAATATGAGAAAGTAATTAGAGAATCAAAAAATCCGGAAAATTTTTCGCTCATTTTTCTCTATATAGACATTATTTTATTATTTTTTGTTATTTTGAAAAATTTCTTTTAAAAAAATTATATTATTTAGTCTTTCCTTCAGTCGAGTCACAGACAAAGAGTGGGGGAAAAGCGAGAAAGGGATCCAACATTTCATTGATCTTTATATATAATTTATCTCTAGTTTCACACATTTCTATCATTTGTCTTATTTTTTTGCTCTTATTTTTTTAAAAAAGAAGAAAACTTTCATTTTTTCCCTTAACTATATTTATATCAAATTTAATGTTATTTTTGATCATAAAATATATATAATATTCCTCTCGTTTCTATTCATCTAATTTGTTATATTGTTCACAACCATCACTAACCTCCCGGTGCTCTCTCACTCTCTCCCCCATCAATACAGTGGTTCAACAGCACTATGTGGTCGAAGTGTACGACGACTTCGTCACTGTTGGCAATACAGCGGTCTTTCGCTGTCATATTCCGGGCTTTATTAAAGATTTCGTTGATGTCGTCTCTTGGATACAGGACTCGACTGCTCTCATACAAGCCAATGATCCTCCCGGTGTGTATTGCACTCAAACACATACATCTCATACACATCCCATATAATATGTACTGCACTTTATATGTGTTACAAAGTATACTCGTTTCCCATACAAAAGACAGTACCCGTTATATGTCTGTGTATTCTCTAAATGATATGTCATTTATCTACTCCTTTAACTCACTCTTCATTTTCATTCACTCTTTTTATATGTGTTTATCTTTTTTTCTCTCCCTCTCTGTCTGTGTCTGCGATGTGTCGACGAATTGAATGCACAAATCAGGCGATCGTTTCTCAATCTTCACGTCGGGTGAGCTTCACATCCGTCGCGTCCAACAAAGCGACGCTTTGAAGACATTTCGCTGTCAAGTGAGACACCGATTGACCGGCGAAACGCTCATCAGCTCATCGGTCGGCCGTCTGTACGTCACCGGTATGTCGAGTCCTCTCATGTCATTCAATCTGATTCTCGCACTTATATTCATATGATATTATCATTTGTATGGGAAATGTAATATCTGTTGTTTTTCACGAAACCATTTCGCCATTTGCCAGTCATTTGTTTTAATAGACCTTTTGATTACAACTTATTATTGCTTTAAAAAATAATTTTTTGGGAAATAAATTCCATTAAATTTTATTATTTCAATGTTTTTTCTGTTTCTTCTCCTCATTTCTACTGTATTGCCATAAAGAGAGCAAATCGTTGAGCAAAAAAAGTACTCAATTTTTAGCTACTTTTCAAATAAGTTTTAAACGACTACTCATTAAATGTTTAGAGGCTTTGACCACAAAATTGTCTCATTTGCGGAACAATTGTTTCAAAATTGAAAAGTAGTGCAAGAAATTTGCTTTAATCTGAAATAATCTGTCATTTAAAGTGTATGAAAAGGATTGTATGAAACGGCAAATGAATGAATAAATGAATTTTGAGCCCATTTATGATGAAAACACTTTTTTAATATTCATTCGCGTTTTGAAAGTATTAATATTAAAAGTAAAACTTATTTCTCAAACATTAATTTCAATTCTGTTCATACGTTGAAAATTGTCTGAAAACAGAGATAATTATAAATAATTTTTCATATTTTGTTGTTTTTAGCGAAACAAAGAGAAAGTATTATAAGATATATAAAGTACTGTATATATTATATTATAGAAAATATTGTAAGAAAAGGTTTTCATATAAATTGTATTTTTTATGCAAATTTGGAGCTCATATTAGAAAAGATGCCGTAAATTATATTCACTACAAATTCTTTGTTCTTCATATTAATGGCAAACAAATGATTAGACAATGAATTTGTATTGTATTGAAGATAAGACTTAATTGAAAACTATATTTTCTATAACCATTTACAGAGGCGTTCAGTAACCAACCGCCGAGAATAACAGACAGTAAACCAGTGGTCGTGGTTAAGGAGGGCGAGGACGTGGAGTTGGCCTGTGCTGCTCAGGGCTACCCCGTGCCCACCTATACCTGGGCCCGAAACACACAACCCATAAGTATTAATATTAAAAGTAAAACTTATTTCTCAAACATTAATTTCAATTCTGTTCATACGTTGAAAATTGTCTGAAAACAGAGATAATTATAAATAATTTTTCATATTTTGTTGTTTTTAGCGAAATAAAGAGAAAGTATTATAAGATATATAAAGTACTGTATATATTATATAATAGAGAATATTCTAAGAAAAGGTTTTCATATAAATTGTATTTTTTATGCAAATTTTGAGCTCATATTAGAAAAGATGCCGTAAATTATTTTCACTACAAATTCTTTGTTCTTCATATTAATGGCAAACAAATGATTAGACAATGAATTTGTATTGTATTGAAGATAAGACTTAATTGAAAACTATATTTTGTATAACCATTACAGAGGCGTTCAGTAATCAACCGCCGAGAATAACAGACAGTAAACCAGTGGTCGTGGTTAAGGAGGGCGAGGACGTGGAGTTGGCCTGTGCTGCTCAGGGCTACCCCGTGCCCACCTATACCTGGGCCCGAAACACACAACCCATACGTCAATTAGCATTCAATAGGGTTCGCCAATTGGACGGCTCTCTAAGGCTGAGCCAAGTGTTACAATCGGACGCCGGTATATATCGGTGTACTGTCAACAACAGTGTCGGCTCCGAAATGATGGAAACGCAGCTCATTGTCACCGGTAAGCCCTTTACAATACAAACACACATTACGATTGTTATTACGGGTGAAAGTGATTTTCACACATAATGTGTTAAATCAATCCAACAATTATTAGCCATCTCTCTCTCTCTCTCTCTCTCTCTCTCTCTCTCTCTCTCTCTACCGTTGGCTACAAATCAATTTAATAGCTTATAGAGAGTGTGTGTTAGAGCATAGTTTCAGTAATGGGAATGAGCTAGGGCAAATTACGCCATCATTACCCTCACAACCATTACCATTATTGTTATCATTAGTACACAATTCCTGCCTTTATTTGTATAAATCTTTGTTTCTCTTTCTTTTGGTTGACTATTATTTGTATAAATCTTAAGCTTTAAATCCAAATTAAGAGTTAATGTATTTCCTATGTTTGCAAATGTCATCAAAAATATATACAAAAATATATGAAAGGAATGTATCAAAACTTATTGACTTTTATTATCAATTGCAACATATTTTACTTTAATGTTTAATAAAGAAAAATACATTTCTGTATATCATTTCTCTTATATAATGTATAATTCGTATAAATTTATAACATATTTCTCAATTGAATGTAGCACTAAATGAATGGCTCTTTTTCTGTTCATTCATTGTGTATTTGAAGCGAATTTTATATTTTTATTTTAAATTTTTTGCTTTTACTTTAACATTGTGTCGATTCTTTAAGCGAGCCGTCAGTGTATATGACTTTCAAACACTGTTTTCCGGCCGATAATTCATGGCATTTGCAGACAATCTGAAACTCATATAAGTTGTGATTCACACCATTTCCTAACACTATTACACGCAATACATTCACACATTGTATTCTCAATAGAGAGATATATTCACTGAGATATAACTGAATGGCAATAAAATTGTTTCTTTACCTAAATATTGATATATTATTTATCGCATAATAGCCTCACTATCGGCCGAAATGAGCCCTCGAGTGGAGAGAGTGGACGTCGGGAAGAGTTCGCAACTGAATTGTAC